TCCTCAAAGATCTCACGAATGCCCCGTGCCGTTTCTTCTCCCGTCTTTCGCTTCAGCGGTCGTACCCAACAGTATCGAGACAGCACGTCGACCACGAACAAGATCCATCCCATGCCATCGTTGGCAGGCTTGTCCCAAGTCATGTCCGACAAATCCATCTGCCATTGCTCGTCCATGGAAAACACGACAAAGGGACGACGAGGATAATTACGCCGTGCTGGGCGATGAATTTGATGCGCCGTCTGAGCTTCCAGCCATTTTTTCTTCGTGGCTTTCGCTCGAGACCCCTTGGAGACGTCGCCGCGGTCGGACAAGAACGCGGAGGTTCCTGCTAGGGCTTGGGGGTGTTGCGCTCCCACTTCGAAATACCGGCTGTACCATTTGGAAGCTTGCTTCTTGCTGGCCACAGCGGCGGCGGCGATGCTCTTTCCTTTCTTCCCTTTCGTCTTGCCAGCGCCCAATCGACCTTTGCGCGTGGATGACGATGGATCCCCCGCAGCACGACGAGAGGCAGCATCGGGCGCGTGCTTGACGTCCGCAGCCGATTCGGTTGTTGCTGATGTTGCCAACAGGCTGATCTTCGTTGCTTCCCGACACGATGGCGGCGGCTTTCTTGGCCAACCAACGTCCAATTCGTCCCGCAGCGATTTGAGTCATAGCGATTAACGCGTTTCTTTTTATGTCCCCCCTTTTTATGTCCCTTTAATATCCATAAGGCAACGTTGTCAGACCTTGATCGACACGTTGTCGCTTGGTATACACCAGACGAACGTCTTTGTCCATGGACACCGTCCTCAATACTTTATGGGTGCCATACCTAACGATTTTACGCGGGTAGCTGACCGTCACTTTCTCGTTCTCTTGCACCAGCAAGCGCTTCATGCTTTTCATGTGAACGAGTTCCTTGGCACAGAGAGTCAAACTAATGCCTTTGCACTTGACCACACACTCCCCCTTCTTCGTACGGTACGCGTACGTCTTGGGACCTAAGGACACGTATTCCACGATCCAATTGGTCTCGGAATCTCCGCATTCGTCCGACCATTGGCCTAGTTGATCCCCCGTTTCCAGTTCTTCGTCCCCTTCCTGCTCCGTCTTGTAAATGATGGAATCCGTGTCGTGTTACAGCACGCATTCCCCCAAAGCACTCAACTTGTCGTACAACCGTAAACGGGCCCAGGCCGTCACGAACGCTGGGATGACGACGTTGCCGTTGGGGTTGCACACCGTGGACTCACGATGCACGTCGTAGTTCACTTGCACCATGTCGCCCGTCAACAGCAGCACCGTTTTGACGTTGACCGTATCGTCGTGCAGCAGTTCGAAGAAGCGGCAGGGTTCCGTGATGTACTCCACCTTGCCACGAAACGGATTCTGACCAAACTTGCCCCACAGCGAATTCAAGTTCAACTTGGCCACCGAACGCAGTCCCGGATTCTTCACGACATTCTCGTACTGGAGATCGATACCTTGGCTGGTCTTCACGGACCGCATGAACTCCCGTTTCTTCTCTTCGGTATCGCAATCGGACGGCCATCCCAACGCCTCCATCTTCATCTTGAGGTTTTCGCGAATGTAAGATTGGAACAAGTCGCTGCTACGGTCAGGGTAGTGCCATACTTCGTGAACTTGGGCCACTTCGTACCCGTGGTTCAGAGCTTCTTTCAATTCAGGGGTCGTCCACACTCCATGCCGCAAACGACGCTCCTCTATCGTGTGAAAGCACGGGGAAGAACAATCCGCGGGGAGGGTCGACGTCGCACTTCACCAAACCAAACCACTCCTCGTCCAGGATGCAATCGGCTATTTCCTCGGGGTCCAGATCCAAGTCTTCTCCTGCGTATACCATGGGATGACCTATAGGGTACTCTTCTTTCCACATCACATACATATACATACATACATTTATTGAGGCTCCTTTTTACAAGGCTTTTCAGCAACAATATAGATAAATATAATATAACACTAATAAAAATGATACTATTATAAGAATATAAAATATAAGAATATAAATATAAGTATATACAATTATAATCAATATGTAAATTAAACTACTTTATTGAAACTAAATAATTAAAAAGTCGTTTTCTAAAAATTTTAGAGTCATTTATACATTTTAAGTCTTTCTGGAGACCGTTCCAAATTTTAGCTCCGCAGAACGCGAAAGAACGTTGGCCCGTAGCTAGTCTACATTTGGGTCCCCCCAGTTTCAGCACTTCCGGTTTTTTTGTGCTTGCGCTGAAGCCACTTCCGGTTTACTTCCGGTTTAATTTTGTTTGCGCTGAAGCTACTTCCGGTTTACTTCCGGGTAAAATGTGTTTGCGCTGAAACTACTTCCGGGTTTTTCCTGCACACTTTCACTTTCATTTTCACTTTCTCTTTTCCCACTTTCTTCTCTCGGGACTCGGGGCCGGGACGACGCTATCTAAGAAAAGAGGATATCGTCTTTTGAGTTTAATGGGAGTTTCACCCATCTTTATTCTTGACACTTTGTTTGTTTACATTTTCTTGTCACAGACTTTACAATATAAGAATCCATCTTTACCTAAGTACTGATCTATTCCATGTTCAAAACTTCTGCAACGAGTAAATATACGTTTCTTAGGAAGTTTCTTTCCTGTTCTAAGTCTATACTCTAATCTAGTTTCTCCTTCTAGGCGAGCSACCATTGAGCTCTTTTTGCATGAATCTTGAACTTTTGTTCTATCTCCTCCACTGGATTTGGGGGGAGTGGAATCATCGTCACTGTCAATCTGTATTGTTTCTGGCAGTTGTCTTTTTCTACGCACTGGACCTCTGCTTCGTACTGAGTCTTCACGGTGTTCAGAAAGTTCTGGATCAGGCGGGCTAAGATCAAAGGCCTTGTGAGTGAGCAAATCAAAATAGCTTGGGGGTGGGGTGGCTTCAATTTCATTCTCAGATAATGGAGATGGTTGGTCAGGGGAGTTCACTTCTCTGTCATAGTCTTGCATAGCGAAATAAGTCTCAGTTGTATTATCGGTGAACACGAATGGTGTGGCTAGTGGCTCTGAGTCGGATCCTTCGGTTCCAGCATCGGCACTTACAGATGACTCTGCCTGGGGTAATTCGATACTCCTCAATGTAGACCGGGTAGCCTGAGAAATAGGATGTTCAGGTAAGCGTACTGGCGACCCTTCGGGGGACAGGGATGGGTTGTTGTCTACACACTCTCTAGCATGCATGCACGCGTCCACAAAGTACTTCCAGGCCCCGGGGTGGATCTTTTTGGGATAATCTTTTAACCAGGGCTGACTTTTTAAGTTCTCATGAATAATGCAACGATTCCTATAGGTCTGCGGTTCGCTGACCCCGCACCAGGGATAAAAATTGCAAGTGAATATTATGGGTGTCCTCTGTAATAACCTCTGTGGTTTACATTTGACATTGACCATACACTCAGCACCGGACATGATCTGTTTGTACTCTTCTGTCTGTGACACCCCGATCACGCATTCTTCGTTGAGAATAACGCTAGTGTCTATAGCCTCTTGGAACCCAAACCCCGCGCTGGCACTATTGGTTACTATGGCAACCACAGTCTTGGCCTCGACAACGGAAAAGGCAAACATCGATTTCCCAGAGTTCGATTCTCCATGCAGCACGAAGCAATTGACCTTGTTGCGCTTCTTGTCTAAAATGTCGATCAATTCGTTTGTCAGTCGCCATATGTCTAATCCGTGCGCCTCGCAAAACTTAATTAACCACTTATGCGACGTATGAACTGTGTGATATGTCTTAGGATCGAACTCTGGGAGCTTGTCTAATTCTTCTTGCCACGTGAGAGAGAGAGTTTCAGTGCGAGTCAGCTCGTTACAGACCTCTACTGCATCCACAAACTTCTTGACCCCCTTGGAAATGTAATTGTAACTTAGGCAACTATCGATAATAACTCCCAAGTCTTTAGCGATAGGAACGGCTTCGATCTCTTTTCCTAACAGTGTTGCTTTGAGTGATGGTAAAGTTTTTGTGAGCTGCGGTACACCAATAGTTAGTATTTTTGTCTTATCTGGGTTGATGAGAAGCGAGTTCATGCAGCACCACTTTGCAATTTCTTTCAGATCTTCATTTAGAGCAGGGATAGCATTGTCGATTTCTTTCGAGGGTAAGGCAAGAAAAAGCTTCGTATCGTCGACATAACTCATTACTTGACAATGCTTTGGGATAGATAGAAGCTCATTGACATATAGAGTAAACAGAACTGGTGAGAGAATTGTCCCTTGAGGTACGCCAAAGATAAGAGAGCGAGCGTCAGATAAAGTATTGTCTATCCT